TGCTGTTTCTCCATCTGAGCAGAGAGAGTTAACCTAGCAGGCCAGGGCGGTCTGGGCTGGGGGCCGCCCCCTGGCCCCCCTCCAGGCCCGGCTCCAGTTACAGCTGCTGGTTGGGGAGGGCAAGGGCAGGGTGGGGCTCGGAGGGGAGATCCTTGGGGGCGGTGCATCCAGCTCTGGGCTAGGGGGATCCAAAGTGCTCCGCCCTGGGCACAGGCACAGCCGGATGTTTGGGGGCTTCTTTCAGCAGGGGACAGCCTGATTGGGGTGAGAGCCCCCCCCTCAACCCCCGTCCTTCCCCTCTAGGCCTCACCCCTTGCCTGGTTTGCTGCCTATTTTGGGAGCAGAAATGACCAGCCCTTGGCTTCCCAGGCAGGCCAGACCCAAGAGGAAAGAGAGTGTGGCTAGGACGTTGGGGTTTCCTCAGGGGTGGAAATGTGGGTGTCCACCCTGGTAGATGTGGGCTTTGGACACTCATGTTTGTTGTTCCAGCTGTGTCACTGTTTGGGGGGTACCAGAGACCCAGATGAGTGATTCAAACAGAAGTATGGGGAATGGGTGGGGGCTCCACTGTGTCTTCTATCCCCTAGGCCCGCTGGCCTGGGCCTCATGCCACCCGCTGGCGTTGTCCTATTGTGAAAGAGGCAGGTCAAGGGTTGTTGTATTCTTTCCTCATCACTGCCAGCAGAGGAGAAGGGTGGCCTTTTCCATGGGGGGCAGCCTGTGGGGCTGCCTCGCCCCAGCAGAGTTTCATGACCCCCCGGGTGGGGGAAGGCAGGTTGTTACCATGGTGGCCTGTGTGAGGCGAATTCCTCCAGGATGAAGTGGGAGATATTTATACCCAGGGTCAAGCCGAGAGAGAAGACAGGCGGCCGAGGGCAAGGAGAGCTGGGATTTCATGGACACAGCAAGCAGGTGGGCCCTTAAGCATACGCCAGCTGTCTCACACAGTGTGTCTGTCTGTCCATCTGTGTGAGGTGAGATACCCCTGCTAGGGGAGGTTTAAGGAATCTGGGGTTTGCTGTCGGAAGGTCAAAGCCTAGAGCACTGTGTAGGCTTTCTGTGTTTCCTGCCTGCCAGCCCTTTCAGTGTTTGCGCGCTATGTGACCACCCTCTCCCAATAGCAAGCATTGTGTGGGTTGTTTTGGTGACGCCATATTCCCGTGAAGCAGGGGGTGCCTTGTTTTTAGGGGTGACCAAGCTGGATGATGTCTGTGGACTTGAACGATCTCTGACTTAGGTTGGAATGGTGGTGGTGGTGGTGGCAGTGATGGTGACGGTGGGGAAGGTCGAGGGGACACACTGGCTGACCCTTGATGTTTCTCTAGGACAATGACATCTCTCAGTTACATCTTGGCTTTCTGTGTGGGTTTTCTTGCCATGGCCAACGCAGGTGAGTCTGAGAGGGGCACCTTATCACCTAACTCAGCCCCAAGGGTAGCCAGAGGAGGGAAACTCCACAAAACAACCAAGTCGGAAGACCCCAACTTAAACCTCCAAACCAAGTTAATTGGGGCACTAATAAGTTAGGAGTCCCCACATAGGGTCCAGTCACAGGCTGGCATTTGAGGAGGGGAAAGGATGACCCAGGTCAGGCCTGCGAGGGAGGGGCGTGGTAGAATTGGAGACTGGCTTTTTGGTTGGAGGATGAAATTATAGACAGTTTGTAATGAGATTGGAAAGGGGCAGTGACATGCCCCACCCCGGCCCAGGACAGTGCAGAGGGGGCAGCTAGGATCTGGAGAGGTAGATAGTCTATCTAGGGTACAAGGGTCTTAAGCCTTCAGCCCAGAAAGGTGAGGCTCTGAGGAGGTCCCAGGAAGTATCCAACTGCCAATTTCTCTGTCTCTTTTCAGAAGCTCCACCAGAACATGATCCATTCACCTATGGTGAGAGGGGTCTATCTGTGGGGGTCTTGGGGAGAGGGACTGTGTCTGCTGGTCCTGTCCTGTACATTTCCCCTCTCTCTTTCACACTGGATATCTCCCATGCCCTCCCTCTCTCTTAGTACATCACATGTTTTCTCTCCCTCTCCTAGCCGACTTTCTGATTCTTTCAGTTTTGACCTCTCCAGGGGGGCCTGCTTCACTCATGTTTTCTGTGTGACTTTGTTTTTCTATGTCATTCTTCTCTGTCCCACTGATGGCCTCTCTCCTTTTGCCTACTAGGGAGCTTCAAAAAGTTCGTGGAAAAATGGAATTAAGAGAAAATGGAATTTTTCCATGAACTTTTTGAAGCCCCCTCATCTCTCTCTCTCTCTCTCTCTATGTCTCATGACCCTGCTGCAGCTGCCTCCTCTTCTTCCCCTCCCTGCTCCCCACTCCCCTCTCAGTTTCCCATCATCCTCTCCCTGTTCCCCCCACATCTCCTTCCTGTTCCCCTACCCCTCCTGTTCCCCCATCTTCTAGGTTCTCCTTTGCCTCCCTCTGCCCCCCCTTCCTCCCCCTCTTCCCCTACCCCCTGCTCTCCCGAGCCTCCCTGTTCCCCCTCCCCTCCCTGCTACCCCATCCTCTCCCTATTCCCCATCCCTGCCTGATCCCCTCCCCTCTCTGTCCCCCACCCCTTCTCCTTCACGTCTTCCTTCCTTCCCTCCCCCTTTCCTCTCTCCTCTTTAGACACACTTTCTCTCCCTTCGATCATCCCCCTACCCTCCTCCTGCTCTTCTTCGTCCTAGTGCTCATTCATCTCCTCCCTGCCCTATCCCTCCCTGGTGCTCATTCTACTTCGCTCCTCTTCCTCCTTCCCTCTCTGCCCTCACCCTCAGACTACAAATCCTTGCGGATCGGAGGCCTCATTATCGCCGGGATACTCTTCATCCTGGGCATCCTCATCATTCTCAGTGAGTGCCCCCGCCCCTGTCCCGTCCCATCTCAAACTCCACCTCTACCCCGCCCCGGCTCCGCCCCTTTTCCTGCCTGTGGCTGGATTCCCTGTTGCTCCGCCCCCTTAGTTAGGACGCTGGAACACCAGCGCCTCTAGGTGGTCGCCTAGGGGGAAAATCTTAGCCTTCTTTTCCCTCCACCCGCTAGGCCGAAGATGCCGATGCAAATTCAACCAGCAGCAGAGGTATGCGGTCCTTCTGCGGCTCTCACCTGACCACTACAGCCTTTGAAGGGCGCTGGGGGTGAGGCGGAAAATCCGTCCCATCCGCAGCCAGAAACCTTTTAGCAAGTGTGCATTAAGCCCCTACTACGTGCCAAGCCCCAAACCAGGTTCTGGAGAGGCGGTGGTAAATAAACCGCCCCTCATGGCTGGCAGAACTCCCAGCCCAGTGGGATCAGTGTTGGTGGATTCCAACAAGCCCACACATATAAAATCACAAAGAGCTGGGAAGGAAAGGGACGTGGTGAAATGAGATCACTTCACGGGGTGTCCCAGTTTAGCTCAGAGTCCTGTTGCTAGGTCTTGGATTCATTTTATAATACAAATTTTAAGCTCAGGCAAGGTACTAATATCGTCTCCATGTGATATATTTTCCATGTGAAAACAATTACAAATATTATTATAAATGCTGTTGTGTGCCGTGGCTGTAAATATTTACGAGAGCCCAAAGCCTCACTTTTCTGCTGGTAGATTCAAACTGCTGAACTTTTCATTAGCAGCCCAACGCGTACCCTACTTTATTGGGCATGCAGAGTATACTAGATGTTGTCGTTAGGTGCGGTCCAGTCGGTTCAGATTCATAGCGACCCTAGGCACAGAACGAAACACTGCCCTCCAGTCCCTTTGACCACCTCCCTTCAAATCTCAAGTTCCTTCCTGACATTCCTGACACTGTTGTTACCTTGGAGCGCACCCTGCCTGGCCTTCTTCTGGGGGTCACATTCACAGACTGCTCCTGGGTGCTCGTGATCTTCTGGCAGACCTTAAGCCTGTCTTTGCCCATTTCGGAGCCTCGGTACCAGGATTCCTGAGTGAGGTTGGTTCAAACCCACCTGCGGCTCTGCAGGAGAACGGTGAGGCTTTTTGCTTCCCTGAAGAGTTACAGCCTGGGAAACAAACACTACAGAGTGTTGCTATGAGTCAAAATCGACAGGATGACTGTGGGTTTGGATTTTTGGGGTTGAGCCGCAGTTTGTGGAATTGGCCGAATAGGCTGCCCCTCTAGTTTTCCTTCCGGAATTCTCGTTGTCTCTTCCTTCCTAGGACTGGGGAGCCGGATGAAGAGCTGGGAACTTTCCGCAGTTCCATCCGCCGTGAGTGGGGGGTGGGGACATGGAAGGCTGTGGATTTTGGGAGTGAGGGTCCAAAGACCCCTCTTTTGGTCTTGTAATTTTGGGAGTGAGGGTCCAAAGACCCCTCTTTTGGTCTTGTGGGCGGAGAGACTTGATCTGAAGCCGGAGGGTGGGAGTTCTTCGGCCTTAGAAGTTGCGGGCGCCCCACCTAAAATGCGAACTCTCTGTATCCCGCATCAGGTCTGTCTAGCCGCAGGCGGTAGAAACACCTGGCGCGATGGAACTACAGGTGCTGAATCTCGGGCTGGGCTATGGAAGGGAGAGCGAGAGGAGGGGGGAAGGAGGAAGAGGAGGGCTGAAGGGGGTGTCTATCTTCGTCTCTCACTCTTTTTACCCACATAGGATTCTCCGGGCACCTGCAGCCTCTTATAGACCACTTGCGCACCCACCGCCACCTGGACGGCTCCCTTCCCCAGTCCTGCCCCCACAGACTCCCCACCGCCGCTCAGACTTCCAATAAAGCATGCTATCCTCTCTTAACAGCGCTTTGTTGGCGTGTCAGTCCCTCTTGGCCCAAGCCAGGGCGCCCCTGTGGCCCCGGTAGGGGGCGCCCCCACCCTCGGGGAAGGGGCGGAGACGTCGGCAGTAGGCGGGGGCGGGGGCGGGGGTGGACCAGGCGGGGGCGGGCTCCCGGGGCCCCCATTGGCTGCAGGCGCCCCCCACACCAGGGCTCCCCTCCCCCCCTCCCCCACCTCAGTCCATCCTGCTTCCAGCTACAGCAACTGCGCCTTCACTGCACAGACATCTAGCCCCCTGCTCCAGCCCAGCATGGTGACCCCGACCCAGGCCCCCACAAAGGGTGAGCTCCGCCTGGGGAGAATACGCAGTGGAGGGGCTATGGGTTCTGAGAGCTGAGGAGACAGGGTGTGGGGACATTCCAGCACTGCAAAGAGAGGGACTTGGGGAGGGGATGCTAGCGGCTTCTTCGAGGGTGGAGATCCCTGTCGCATATGCCCTGGCACCCCTTCGGGTCTCTTGGATACATCCTCCCAGGATACCTTGGATCCCTCTTCCCTGTATGGGACCCGCGGTTGGAAAGTGACAGCCCCAGGAGAAGGAGAACTCAGACTGGTCGCTATGGTAACTGGGTGGCTGGTCCAGCGCAGTGGCGGTAACAGAGAAGAGATGGATTGGGAGAGTCCGATTGGTGTATCTGCGGCCAAAGGGGTTCTAACAGATTTCAGGGGTCCATGGGGGTGATGAGAGGGAGGGAGCCATACTTCTCTTTTGCGCGCTGGATCCTATGGTAGGCGTTTCTCAACATTTCTGAGGGGTTCAGAGGGAAGGAAGGAAAGATAGGAAGCTGGAGAGAGAAAGAGATGGAGAGACAGAAAGAGATACTGAGATACAGAAAGGAATACGGAACGAGGCTGAGAGAGAGATACAAAGAGATACTCATTGAGAAAGAGAGATGGAGATGAAAGTTGAAGAGATTCAGAGGGTGAAGGAAGAGGCAGAGATATGTATGTATGTGTGTGTGTCTCTCTCTCTTTCTATGCCAACATCTCCATCCTTTCCTTACCGCCCCCTCCCCCAGTCTCTGTCTCTGGTTCTCTCTGTATTTATGTGTGTATATACCATCACAGCATACACATACAAATATACAGAGAGAACCAGACTTGTGGGGAGGGGGCGGGCAGTGACAGAGGTAAGGATGAAGAGGTTGGCAGAGAAAACGAGACTCACAGAAAAAGAGAGAGAGACCAGACATACAGGGAGGTAGAAAGCAATAGATAGAAAAAGGGGAGGAGGAGGAAGCAGCATTGGGTGGGGCCCGAACCACTGCAGTGACCCCCCCCCCCTTGGATGGGAATGGGACAGTGGGGACCTCCTTCCCAGCCAGCATGCAGGGTATCGCCTGGTTGAGGAGGTGCAGTTGAGTGTGCGCACACAGATGCCCCTCCCCACCCCCATCTAGCCGCTCTCTGTTACATTTCACACTCATTAACCTAGTTATGTACCCGCTTAAACACCATCACCCCCAACAGCCTCCTTTCCTCAACCTCTTTCTGCAAAGGAACAAGGAAAGAATGCTTTAACGGGAGGCAGGTAGACCTGGGGAAGGTTCCTAGTACTGAGGACAGGGCCAGGAGTGGGCCACGGGTGCGCTAAATCGCCCCTGGCAGTAAGGGAACCCCCAATCCCACACTGATCTCTCTTGCCATGCCCCCTTTCCTGGCAGGCAGGGGCTGCTGCACTAAGCTGTATCTGCAGAATTAGAAGCAGGGCGGAGGTGG